TAATTTTTATTCAAGAAAAATTCAGCAATTTTGTACAAGTATATATATTCATATATTTCATATATATGTATACCTTATTCTCACCTACATAGTATCAAGATTTAGATATGCGTCTTCAAACGTCTCTTATTGGACTGGCTATTTTACTAGTCGACCAGCTTTCAAGGGAATGATCAGGGAAGCCAGTTCTCTTCTTCAGGTGATTACAAAACCCTCCGCACCCTTTTTAAGAATCATAAAATCTCGGAATTTTAGCTTTGCAAGCAGCTTGATGCCGTTGCTGATCTCGGTCCCGAAGATGATGCTGATGTCGAAGTTATGGCCAAGGCTTCAGCTCTTGTTCAACATCATGATGCCGTCACGTAATTGTACTTTTTAGTCGTTTTCTCAATTTTACTAATAATGTTTTAGGGGAACTGCCAAGGAAAATGTAACTAGAGACTATGAAAGACGTCTAGCTCAAGCAATGAAAGAAGGAGAGGTGAGAAGCCGTATTTTTTATGGGGAGTACAGATGAACGGAGGTGTTCGGTAAAGGCTATTGCAAAAAGAAGGCGCAAAAGCATATTAGTTGAGCGCGCACGAACGCGGCGCGCGCGTTGTCCCAACATTGCAAGCCCTGCGCATGGTGCGCTCTGCGGCTAAAAGCCCCAAAGTTTTGCGCCGACATTAGCCTTTACCTCATTTTAACACGTTTAAGATTTTTTTCAAATCTTTCAAAAGATCAAGATGTCCCATTTAGGTGGTGATCAACGATTATTTGAAGAAAATCTATCCAAGGGGATCGGACAAAGCTCCCAGACATCATTTGTGCCCGCTAATTAATGAAACCATCTGTAATGCAATAAAGTATCTGACTACACCGAATCCCATGAACTTCTATACAATCTTGGAACTTTTTGAGGGATGAATCCACTTTCGCTGTTACCGTCTTCAACAGCAACTCGCGTAGCTTCTCTGGCTTGGTCACTATCCCGTACAGTAGCAAACAAGCAATGGTAATGGGACCGAAAGGTGATAGAGTACCCGTACAGGTTCGTCATTTAGAACAACTTTTTATCTAGAACGTGAAAGTGTAATTTTAGCTGATGAAAACATTCCAAGTGAATTCGCTAGACACCAATGCTCGCGCACCGTATGAGCTGGTCCTGCCCGTAGAAGTTGGTCCTTTAGGATATGCTACATACATAGTGGATAACTCAACTTCAACGTGAGTAATACTAACCAAAAGTATATTTGCAAGAGCTGAAATCAGTTTTCGCCGAAATTCTTTTTCGTATTGTTACTGCCACGATCGAGCTACGATGTTTTCTTGTAAAGGCACTGTCATTAGTCATAGTGATGATGTGAAAAAAAGAACAAAAGATTTCTGTGGAAGTGGTTCCAAAACACGACCAACTCTAAAAGTATAATTCGGCGTTTTTTGTTAATTCTTGGCAAGACACTTGCATACGGTTTTGATGGTTTACCTTGCAGGACCAAAGCTCAAAAGTTAATCTCAACTCTGAATTGTGACAATTTGATGATGTCAAAGAAAGTAATTCAAATGTTTTACGATACCATTCATGCGCTGCTATCGCTGCCAGCATTTCATCTAAACACTCACATCAATCTCCATAGTCGCCAATCACCTTTTCAAAACATTTCGCGATCTCAACCCGATGTAAATTTTAGAAATATCCATCGCCCCGCTTGATCAAAAAAAATTTGACAGCCACTGCTTCCCCGAAATGTTAGATACCTACAGACCATAACAGCTTCGGGATACCCGAAAAGTTTTACTTTACGAACGTTTTGGGATTCCTTATTTTTTCGTGAACTCGGAGGTGCAAAAATAATGGCATATTAGAAGAGAACTGCGCTCTCAAGCTTTGCGATATCCTCCTAGTTAGCCATTCCCCACTCATCAAACTCACCAACACGAAAGATCACTGCGACAACGCACAAAACAGTAGCAGCAGTTAATCTGGCGGCAGCTTATATAAATTCTGGCTCAGAAACGAAACTGAACTCTCGTCCAGACCGTATTCTTTTCATGTCAGTGTGCGCTACACGCGACGACTCTGATAGGTCTGCTCGAGAGGAGTACTGTATTGTTGAGTGAGCTGATTTTCACGGTCGCGATT